AGCAGGAATTTGTTACCTCAAAAGGTAAACATGGATCCAGCTCAGGATTCCTGACAAATGCTGGCCTGCTGAGGGACTGAAGGACACGCAAACCGAGATTCCTCTCTGACACCAGGCTTGCTCACCGAGCAGGACATCCACTGCTCTACAGCTCTTCCAGAGAGAAGCAGCTGAGTGGAAGTGCTGAAATCCCACAGGCTTCCAGCTACTTGAACCAGAAATCACAGAAACAAGCCTGAAAGTGTGGTAAGATCCTGCTGACTGATGGGAGCACTGGCAGGAACAAGAAAGGCCTACAATTAGCCCTGTTTAAAGGAAGAAAGGCACTAATCACATTAATTATCATGCCTTTGGTGACTTTGTTTCCATAGCTGAGCTCTCCGAAGCAACAGGTTCAAGCATCCCAGCCGTGCTGCTGACCACAGAGCAGGACCCTCAGGTTTAGAGCCCCTGCCCTATGAATTGCTCTGTGATTGAGCAATAACAAACTCAGGGCTAAGCCCCAAAGCTCACCCTGCAGAAACCTGAATTTGGAGGCATTTCAGGGGCTGCTCCCTCAGCCCCTTTCAGGAAGCATTAGCTGCCATCAGTGCAAAGCCCGAGGGAAGAATAGAGGAAGGAATAAATGCACTGCAAAGGAAAATAAGCTGCATTGCCAAAGATGAAAATTTTTCCCCAAAGCCCACTTGCTTCCAAAAGGCTTTTCCATCCTGGCTGTCAGCAGGCTGGGGGGAAGCAGAGGCCTGGCTGGGCTGGTGCACAGGGTGGTGCTGGCACAGGCTGCCCTCCTCCTGCTGTTTGCTTTTACCTCTTCGCACTGAATGTCAACGGAGCCTGAAGAACAAGTACACAGAGAGACCCACAATAAATGCCAGCCCTTGTTAGCTGAGTAAATTGTGTGCCGAGCTGAGTCTTGGAGGAATCTTTGCAGAGCAAACACTGCTAGTACTGTGTGAGAGAGTAAACATGTGAAGACGACACAAAGACATGAAGGACTTCCGAGGAAGGCGATGGAGTGGCACCCAACACAACTCCACTGGGGGAAAAGTGCTGCCAGACCTGTGCTGGGAAGCTGAGCTTGATGGGCACGTCCAGCTCCTCCTGCAGGAGCCTCCCTGGCCTTTGCTTCCCCCAAGGGAACAGCTTCAGGCTCCCTCCTGAAGAGCCCGTCCTCAGCCAAGTTCTGTTTCTTTCCAGCGTGAACCCAGGGCTGCTCACAAAGGTCATTCCCACTCCTTAGGTTTCAATCTTTAAAGTTATCTATGGTGCCCATCACAGGAGGTAATAATAGATGTAACTAATGAAGACAGGAGGGAGGTGCAGTGTGGTTGTGCTGGCTGCTGTGAGGTGATGACTAGTCAGGACTTGAAGCCAGGTAGCTCAGCACAGCTTCACCCTACCCTTAAATTCTGCTCCCAAAGCAGCACAGTTCCCTCAGCAACAGCTCTCCAGGGCAGCTGAGGCACACGAAGAACAAGTCACTGGAGACAAGTTGTCACCATGCTGCCACCTTCCTCACAGCGCCAGCAAGGACAGAGATCCTCCTCAGCAGGGGCTTGTATTTGCTCTCCTGATTAACCTTGATAACAGGACAAGGTGGCTGTAGCAATTGTTTCCTTTGTGCTCAACAGATTTCCCCTTCAAGACAAGAAATTTCCAAGCAAACCTCTTGCAAAACACTGAGTCAAAATACAGACCTTGGCAAGGACTGAGAAACAGCCACTTTGGCTACTGGCAAGACAGAAACCAGCATTTTGAAAGCCAATTCAGAACACCTTTCACCTGGCTTTTGAAGTGACCCAAAGGAAGGCACGCTCTGTAGCTCCATCTTTCTCCTTTTCCAAGTTCCAAATACCAGTTTCTCCATGTCTCCCTCCCAGGTTTCCCCAGTAACACTTCCAGTGACTTTACACTGATGACAGAAGGATCCAAATCAAAGAGATAATGTGCTTGACAGCTTGCTCATCATTAACAGGTTAATTTTCTTAGTGCCTGTGAAAGAGTTCGTTTCAATGCCAGAAATAGGAGCATAAGCCTTATTGAAGTCTCTTCTGTTACCCCTGATGCCAGCCTTCCTACCCCTGCCCTCCCACGGGCTCGCAGCAGACAGCAGGGGACCCACTGCCCAGGGCAGGGGTCTCCCGAGACTCTGAGGGGAGGAGAGGAGGAATTCCTGCGGGCAGGACAGCAGCCCCAGCCGGTGGGTGTCTCCTACCACCTAGTGGCACTGGCTCGCCATGCAGCAGCTCAGCTCCAGGCAGGGCGGCATTCCCGGCTCCCAGCAGCCTCTGGAGCAAACCCAGCCTTTCCTCAGGCCGCTTCCATCCCTCGGTTGGTTTTTTTGCCACTTACGATTTATTAGCTGTATTCTAAGCCATTGCATTTAACCCATGATGAAGCAAACAAAAGCAGAACTGTACCTGAACCAGCCTGAACACACACACACCTGCCACAAAGAGCCTGGAGCTTTTTGATCCATGATGTCCTGTTTCCCAGGTCACTGAAGCCATTTGGCAGCACTGCCTGCTCGAGACTAGAGTAACAACCCTCTGCCTCCTGCTCCCTCAGGACAATTGTCACCAAGCCTCTCCCAGAGATGAACACCAAGATCACCACAAGACAGTGTCAGCCCTGGCCAGTGCTGCTGCTGCACAGCCTCCTGCTCCAGCTGTGGCTCTACAAGACCTGAAGACATGATGGGGTTTCTTTACAATCTAAACCTTTTCAGGACCACCTGAAAATAAAATTTGTTTATACCAGCTATAACAGGCACTTATTATTGGCCATTGTTTTTCTTAAAAAAAAACCTCCCAGTTTTTTAAACTACTTGGTGACAAAAGATTTTTCTGCTGCTGCAAAGAAGCTCAAAGCTTCAACACCTTCTGAGGAAGCAATCACTCCAATGGAACCAACTGCCCCCAAAAGCCATTTGCAGACTTAAGGAGAAGCCAATCCAAAGCTTATCTTGGGATCCAAGCAGATTCCTTGGTTCCCACTTCAGCAGCATCCCAAAAGACTTGTTCATTCACAGCTCTTTCACAAGACAATCAAGACACACTGTGGTGCTCACAAGTTTGTGCCTTAGCACAGCCCTAAGAAACAAGAACAGGAGTTGTAAGAGCCATTGAATAAAAGTATTTATTTTAACATGTTTGCAGAGCCACACATATAAAGCTCTCACCGTATCTGTGACCAAATTACCCTTTTACCTCCTATCTACACATGTAAAACATTTAATTATTTACTTGCACTACACAATAAAGTAGGTCTGATGTCCAGGCACCGTTACTCATCCTATCAGTATTTTCGCTTCGTTACTATGAAGGTTTGAAGGTCGAAATTGCTTTCAGAAGCTGATTTGCATATTAAATAGTCAAAGGTAATTCTTCCAAGAGGAAATCCATATCACCAAGCTGTTGCTAGTTATAATAAAATACTAAATGGCATGGGAACACTCTTAAAGTGCGTTACTGCATCTAAATAAATAGCAGCATTTATGCCTCTTCAAAACAGAGGCCCTGACGAGGAAGGGACAGAGACCAGAAGTTTTTTGCACTATAAAAAGCTGAAAAAATATGCAAGGCAAAAGCCTTGTGTCATTAGTTTATAAAGATACAGCTTAACAGGGGCTTCCATACACCCCAGGCAGAAGGTGTTCTTCACAAGTCCAGATGACACAATGGCAGAACCCCCCAGGATCTACTGAAACATTCACACCCACACTTCTTTGGGATTGGAACAAGTGTCTCCCATGTAACCCCTGCCTAGCACAGGGCACCATAAAAAGATAAGCCTGTAGGGATAAGAGAGCAGTTGATCAAGCTTATCACTGGCAGCAGATAATACATCAGTCTGATCAAACCCAGAGGATCCCAGCACAGCAGCACGGGAGGCTCATGGTTTTCTTCGCCTAAAAAGAAAATAAAAGAATAGCCAGAAAGAACTTTGGGGTTTCACACAGCAGCCTCCTTAGCAGCCTCCCTGCTCATCCTGTCTGCATGTGCCATGTGCCTCCTATGCTAAGAAACACTACAATGAGCACAAGTAAAAATTAAAAAGCTTATTTATCAAGAAACAGTTTGACTTTCCTTTTATTTAACAGCCTTTAACAGTTTTATTTCAATTATTTAACTTGTGTAAATAAATAAAAGCTCCAACTCACTATGCAGGCAAACTAAAGGAGTTAGTATAACATGACAAGGCTGTAGCAAGGCTGCAAGCAGAAGCAGCCACCCTGAGCTGGGCCCAGTTTCCAGGAAGAGATGTCATAAAGTGCATGCTAGCATGATGAAAGGCACGCTTATCACCTTATCTGAGGGGGGAATTACTGATTTCAGATACTCTCCAAAATACCCTTCCACCACAGCTCTAAACTGTTGGATTCCAAATGCAATGTTAAGTTGATTTTTGACTTCACAGAAACATCTCTAAGTCTCCAGCCCCCCCTCTTGCCTGTACACACGTCCTTCAGAACAACACATCTCCTTCCCTGAGCTGGACAGAGGTACTGGCAGTGCAGTGGAAGCCCCATCTCCAAGTGGGCCAAATCTGGATCTTGAATTCTGTTCTGCAACAGCTGGTTTAGCCAGACTGAAGCATTTCTTTTGTTGGTGAAATGTTTTGTTAGACGTGCTTAGAGGCTCCTACAGATTTGGCCTGTCAGCAGTTTCTAACACTAAATAAGCCTCCTAATCTTACAGCATTAGAGGTGTGCACCCCAATCCCAGAGTGGGAGGGGCAGCAAAGTCAAGGGGGCTAGAAAAGAGTTCTCTGACTGTAGATGTTACTAGGAAAGAGAACAATATGCCAGCTACAAAGGAGAGGTGCACTTACTTGGGCTGAGCATGATGCTGGAACCCAGGTCCAAGAGCTGATCCTGCCCTCATCTCCACTGCCACAGAACACTGAGAAGACACAGAAGATCAGTTTTGTTGCTAACCCTCACCCAGCGATCAGCATTACCCCAAACTCTCATTCAGATCAAGCAGGAGAGCTCTCACTCCTTCCTTTAGAGCTTACTCTGGTTTCTACATCAGTCCATTCCGAGTCTGCAGCATCTTCAGGTGGGTCAGGATGGGGAGGGGAAGATCTTCGCTTTCGACTGAAAGAGAAGTATGTGGGGGGAAGAGTTACAAGTGTCATGTGTTCTGGCAGATCCTCACACACACTGTATGCTTTCTAAAGAAATACTCTGCTTAAAAGCAGCTACAGTATTTACAAGCCTCTCTGAGTTACTTTTATTTAGACACAACTCCCTGTACAACCCTTTGGGCCAGGAGTGGTTACACACACACACACCATTGGAGTGACATCTCCAGCAGGCTCAGAACCTACAGTCAGGACCACAACTCACCCAGTTGGAGATTCTTGCTTCAAGGTCTCTATTTCTGTGAACTGCACAGCCTGTCCACCACCCCTGGTTTTGAAAACATCCCCCTGGAAACCAAAAGCAGTTAACAATGTCCAGTCACTAGATCAGCACGGTGGCTGGATAAGTTTTCACATAAGAACTTGAGAGCTCACAAGTGTCATTTCCTTGCAGGCGAGCGGCCAGCAAGCACATGTGCACAAATGCACTCTCCCCCATTTTGTCTTCCCTTATTCTACACAGGACAATAAAGAATGAACCACCTGCCCTGCTACACAAGATGCCCACAGAGCAGTCACTCCGATGACACGGATTCCTATATGACAATGATGACCATATAATTCCACAGAAATCACCTCACAGACCTAGTTTCAACAGTCCCATTCCACAGCAGGAAGCACAAATATGTCATCAGCTATGCAAGACTTTGCTTTTGGAAACACTGCTGGAACCTACAAGGTCACCTGGCAGTGGTGAGGGCCTCTTTAAACTCAAAAAGAAAAGAGACAATACCAGAAGGCCTGTGACTGCAGGAAAAATGAACCATAAGCTACAGCTTCCAAAGAGCTCTGTCTGCCTTAGGAGAGCACAGTCAATACTTTGGGACACCAGCACTACCAGTGCCCCGAGCCTAGGCTGTCTCACCAGTTTGCTTGTCAGTTGACTACCAGAAATTACATCCTGGAGCATTGGAGCATCCATCACTGCAGCAAGTTTACTCTGCTGGTGGAAATCAAACATAATTACAACAAGACTGACTCCACAAGATTAGCTGCAGCCACAAGTCTAAGAAACTCTCACTACAAAAAGATTATTGCATTTCAATAGAGGAAGAAAAAAAACAACAACCTAGTTACTTTCAAAGCAAACCATGACCGAGACAAACCAGCCTGTAGTGGTTTATATGAAGTAATGACAAGTTTAAAGAGAAGTATTTTCAAACAAAAAGCTCTCTTGAATCCAACTGCACAACACTTTCCAATCCAGCTCCTCAGCAGATGGAGTCAGACATGCCCTTTTGTCAGCCCGGGACACACACACGTTGCCAGGAGGCTCTGACAGGGTCATCACAAGGTTCCCACTTTACCTTGATGAGTTTGGTCTCAATCTCCCCATCAGAGGCCAGCTCCTGGTGCGTCAGCATGTACTTGTCACACTTGGCCAGTGCCTTTTCACTGGCAGCTGCTACCGTGATGGCATGAGGGACGAGGGGCTGCAGGACTGTGTCAGTGGGCAGGTTAGAGGGTGGTTTGTGATCCACCCATCGCTCCCCAGCCGAGCGCGACCGTCTGTGTCTGAGGCGAACGGGAGGCGCGTTCTGAGCGGGGCGGAGAGAATCAGGAGAAATCAGCACACAGCAAATCTCTGAGGACAGCAGCAGAGGTGAGCTTGGCAGGGCTGGTTAAGATGTTAGACTGTTTTGGTATGAAGACCAAAGCTGGGTTCCTACAGTGCTTTCAGAGCGCACCATTACCCAGAGCCTTGTTTATAAACTAACGACTGGAGCATTTCTGTGCCAATTCCTATTTCTTGCAAATTGTAGCAAAGTCTTATCCAATCTCTTGCTATTCCATACCCAGTGAAGTTACCTCCAGGAGGACATCCCTATCTCGGGTAATGCTCCCTCCTTAGTTTCCAAATCAGATTGCTAGGAACACATTAACCAACCAGAAAAGACATTTGTTTCCATGGATCCACTCATGGATCAAAATGCATTTCTGAGGTAGCAAAGCAAGCAGACCAAGGATGGATTTCCAACACCTCTAAAGGATCCAGGGCCTCTTCACACAGATGAGTAAAGAGAGCAGAGGAAACATCCCCTGTGCTACTGCTCTCTTCTGAACTCAGCTGTTGGAAATCCATGAGAAGTGACTGAAATTCATGTATTTTCATTTTGCGAGCGTGAACATCACTGTCAAGTTGCTCAGGAAAATCAGAACATTCTGGGAACTTGTTTAAAAACCTGGGTCCCTTCAAGATCTTTGAATGGGCTTTTGAAAGAGTCTTTGCAGACTGTTCTGTTTACACACTAATTTGAGAGACCTCTGAATCCTGGTGAGGTTACACAACCCAAAGCTATGAATGCAAATTGTATCAACCCTGTTTTCAGGCAATGAGCATCAGTTAGGATTTCTTTGTCCAATGCACACAAGATTGTCTGTGCCCTTTGCAGATAAACCTCTTACAAGTCTAAAGCAGTTCTTGAAAATTAAACATATAAAGGGAAATGTGGCTTTCTGAAAAAGTCTTCCATTAAAATACTTTAGAAGAGAATGTCAATATTTTTTTTCCTCCTCCTGCTTTTAGAGGGCAAGTACTTGTTTCCATTGATGTTGTTTTTTTTTAATTCTGCCAAGCTGCCCTAGGACTTCCAAGGACAGGGTGTGCTACTGCTTACAAGTGTGTCCCTGACTTCCAAGGGCCAGCAAGGGACACACATCTTGAAAACACTCAAAAATGACCAAGACCACAATAACTTTCCTCCTCTTGAGAGGCTGGGGTTGTACAACCCTTTGATTTACATGAGCCACTGTGACAGTTACAGGCCACCACCCATACAAACATTTGCACTTAGCTTAATGAGGAAAAAAAGCCTCCCACATGTAAGCAAAGCTCCCAGTTTTTAAGCAGACATGACAATTAGGGAAGACTATTCTAAAATACTTAGTGAACAGTCACACAAGTGAGATGATTGTCCAAGCACTATTTCCAGCAGATGCTTGCAGGCATGGAACATAAGACCACCTTTTAAGTTGCCCAAACAGCCTATGGTAAATTGCCAGGAGCAAGATAGACTTGAGGAGACAGACAAGCTAAAACACAGGGACATTCATAGCTAGAAAAGTCTAGCTAGATCAGAGTCCCTTACAAGTGCTATCTCTGCACCAGCAAGACAAAAACAGCTCCCGAGGAGTTTCTAAACATCAAGATAAGCAGTCGAAGAGCAGGAGTGGTGAGACTCAACTTAGAAGCTGTCTGTTCTACAAGAAACACATGTAGGGGAACACTCCAACCTGTGTTAGGGGAGCTCAGTGTGAGAGCAGTTGTAATTTGTAACGAGCTTTTGAGCCAGACTAAGCAACACTAGGTTAAGCTTTTGAGAGGAGCAGCACTAACCCTGCAGCATTGATCCTCTTCTAGTTCTAGCTCATCTCTATGCCTGGGAACCTCAACGATTCCAGTCCAGCACATCCCTCGCCTTCTGTCTGAAGTCTTACAGTCTCTACTTTGTTCTGCTTCTTGTTGTCTAATCCTTGCATGAGAAGTGCCACTGGTCTGCTTGTGCCAAGGGGTTTTCTGCTCCCATTCCAGAACACTGGATGCCACAGAAATGCTGCTACAAGAATTAGAACGTCTGTGTCCCTGCGGGTTGCTCACAAGCTGCTGGACCTGAGCAATACAGTTACTAGGAGGCTAGAAAGAACAGCAAAGAAGTTAGTGAACACACAGAACTGTCAACTTGTAAGGCAGTAAAACAGTGAACACTGACAATGTGCAGAGTGCCAATTCAGCTATTCAAGCTTCTGGAGAGGCATTGTGTTGCAGTGACAGCATTAGGAATCAGGTATTCCTCCAATAGGAGTAGCATGAAAAGGTAGGAGCACAAATAAAAGAACACTGATCAATACAACAGGAGACAAAAGCAAGTTCAAGTTATTAAACTTGGAGAACTGTCCTCTAGACAATAAAGAGAACTGGCCTGCACTTTAATTCATTCTTATAATATACTTTTCCCCTATGTTAAGTAGTGTTTCAAAGGCAACTTACAGGTACTGGTGAAGGAGACATTGGTCTCTGAACAGCCTTCTCTCGGTCTCTCTCCCGTGAGGGCCTCTCTGGCTTTTCATTCTTTGGTTCAGTAACAATGGCCTTCAGTTGCTTCAGTTTTTCATCTTTGACCCAAAGTTTGTTCTGCATCTCCAGCTGCTTTGCTGCTACACGTCGCTCCTACACCAACAAGTGAGGAAACTCATTAAGTACCTTCCACAAGATCACCTCTCAATGCGCTACCAACCCACAGAAAAATTCTAGACATTAAATAGTGACACAGCACTTGAGAGCTGCTCTAGCTGCATCAAATGTCCTTGAGGAATTTATTGTACCACACTGCATTTATAACAGTTACGCTTAAAGTGTCTGTTCAAGCCTATAAATAAAAGTCAAACACTTCTCCATTCTTGATGCTCCTACAATATTAAAAAAAAAAAACACAACAAGCTCAAAAACAAGGCCCCCACAGCATTGCTCCATTATGCACTTCCAATAGATATGCTAGTGGACTTACACACTCCTTCTCCCATTTCATGGTGGTTTCTGCCACCATGCCTTGCAGCCGGGCCTCCAGCCTTCGCTTGTCAGAAGCCTGACGCTGCAGTTTCTGGCTCTGGCTTTCCAGCTCTTGCTGAAGATTTCGCTTGTCTTCTTCATAAATGGTTGCAGTTTTCTCTAAAATCTCAATCTGGAGAAAGAAAGGAAGGATGGAACAACAATGGTTCTTAGCAGCACAACCATCTAAGCCCAGAATTGCCAGGTCTATTTGGTTGTTAATGCACACTGGAATATATTAGCTGTTGTACAAACACCCCCAGATGAACACATCACATTTGAAAAGGTTTCAGATATTTTACAACTTTCTTCCAAGTTGCTCATCTTAAGGTATTAAGGGAAATCTCACTTGACAAGAAAGACAAAAAGCTAAAGAAGTGCAGTAAAGCTCCCCACAAAATACATTTAATCTTTTTTCTACTATCCCTCTTGCAAGTTCTGATGTCAAGAAGCTTTCCAAATGGTAACAGAAAATGCATTTTGTGCCCAGCTCTAGGCAATGAAAACTGACCTTGTATTCCAAAGTTTTAACTTTCTTCTCCAGGCGTTCCAGCTCCATCTTCTGTCCTGCTATTGTTTTCTCTTTTTCACACAGTTTTCCTTGAATATAGGTTTCCTTGGATATAACACTGGAGTCAAATTCTTGCAGCTTGGTTTTAAATGAAAGCGCTGCAAGAGAATCAATAGATTTCATCTTCTCCCTGTCTCCCCTAACATCAAAAGCAGTTCTGCTTTTTAACCCTACCAGCTGTTCCATTGCCTCAAAAACGTTTGTTTTTTCAAATGATCAATCTAGACAAGATACTTCTTTCCTGAAGAAGAGATGCCTTCAGTAGTAATAAGAGTGCCAAAAACCTAGCTCCACAGTGATGTTCCAATTCTTACCCTTTTTGGCAAGCTCCTCTGACAACATTTGTCGCAGTTTATGGCGTTGTTCCAGGACTTCAATAAGCTTTGGAAGTGTTTGATCATCATGAGGATCCAATAGCTCACAGGAAGGCAGTGGAGGAAAGGGCTGCAAAATCATTTCTGTATCAGATTGCTCTTCTGTTTCTGTAAGAATTAAAGCCAAGGAAGCCTGTCGGTGAGCTACAGAACAGCACCTTTTGACAACGCCCACGGCCCACAGATCCTTCAGCCCACAGATCCACAAAGCAGCCAGGATAATTAAATGAGAACTAGGAGTTTTCAGGAGAGGACAGTGTTGAGAAAAGATTCAATGTGACATTCTCGACTCATTGCTTTGTAATACCCTCCAGGCAACTCCTGATTCCTCAGGTAGGCTCTAAGCATCTAACAACATGAAAGGATCATTCCTAGCACAATTTCCTTTCAGGAGTTGCAATAATGCAAGCATAAATTCAACTCCTCATTAGTAACAGAATGACTTACCCTGAGATTTACACTGCAACTGGGCTTATACTCCCAGTAGGGCTGCACTATCACAGAATCATGGACTGGTTTGGTTGAGAAGAGAACTTAAAAGACCATCCAGTCCCACCCCTTGCCATGGGCAGGGACACCTCCCACCAGGCCCGGTTGCTCCAAGCCCCATCCAACCTGCCCTTCAACACTGCCAGGGATGGGGCAGCCACAGCTTCCCTGGGCAACCTGGGCCAGGGTCTCACCACCCTCACACTAAGTATTTTCCTAATGTCCAACGTAAATCTCCCCTCTTCTAGTTTAAAGCCATTACCTCTTATCCTATTGCTATGTGCCCTTGTCAAAAGTCCCTCCTCAGCTTGTGTGTGTTTTGTATGTTACTTCCTCTTGAGCCTCTTAAAATTACATTCTTAATAAGCATTCCCATTTTTAGCCTATGGAAAGGGCAGTACCTACTGCAGAGAAGGCTCACAACTAACAGGGAAGTGAAGCTCCTTTTGCACTTCCAAGGCCCAAATAACTTGTGTTAAAAGAGCCTTCTACTCATAGCAGAAAACAAACCCTGTGCTGTAACCACCTAGGATTGTGGCACTTACCTCCAGGAATGGGGCCACCCCGCATCTCCAGCTTCCGTGAGAGCTCCTCCTGGAAGGCCTGGTTCCTGAAGCGCCGGCCCGGCGTGAGGCCACAGAGGGGCCTGTCCACAGGCCTGGCAACCTCCACCTCCTGGGTCATCTCTGCAAAGCGCATGACTTGCTGCAGGAGAACAAGAGCAGGGGGAGTGAGCAACAAAGCCAGCAGCAGCCAACAGAGGTTTGAAAGCATCAAGCTGTAACCTCACACAGTTCTCAACTAGATAGCTTGTGATTCTCAAGTGGAGCCTCCAGAAACCTTCCCCTGAACACTTCCTGACCTCAGCCCCCAGGGAACCACAAACCCAACTGTGGGCATTGCTGGAGCACCTGCAAGTACTGCCACAGTAAGGATTCAGCCCCTCAAGGTAGCCATTTGGGCTTCTGTAAAGAGAATCCTTTCTCATTTTACAGGCAAGGAACAGTTGTCATTTTTAAGAGGAAAAATAATACTTGAAGAGCACATTTCATGTAACTGCCTTGGTTGGAAAAAGTCCTTCAAGATCATCAAGTCCAACCACTAACCTAACACTGCCAAGTCCTTAACTAAACCACATCCCTAAGTATTATGTCTATACAACTCTTAAAATGCCTCCAGGAATGGGGACTCCACCACTTCCCTGGGTAGCCTGTTCCGATGTCTGATAACCCTTTTGGTGAAGAAGTTCTTCCTAACAACCGATCTAAACCTCTCCAACTCCAACATTTCCTCTTGTCCTATCACTTGTAACTTCATTGAAAAGAATTCATTTGCCCTACAATATTATGCCTGATTACCTGAAGTGTCCAAGCAACAAAAATTATTGTTCCTCTCATCTACTAAAGGAGCACAAGAATTCAGTGACAAACATGAAAAAAAGGAGGGAATGAGGTAAAATAAGAAATTACCAAGCTTTCCTCATAGTCCTCAGCCTTAGGATTAACACACACAATCATACGCACTTTTCCTTCACCATCAAAATAGTTCTTGAAGAGATGAGTCAGTTTAGAATCTCTGTAGGGAACCATCTGAAAATAAAGTACATGAAAGCTCTAGTAAGCTTACACCAGACCTTCATCAAACCAAAAGATAATTAGATCATGGGTTACATACCTTATTTGTTCCATACATCTGATTTTCTCGTAGAACTTCAATGCATGTTCTTAATGTCATTAGTGACTGATTAATATTACCTTAAAGACAAAAACCCCTGTAATCAGCTATTTGGATCATGTTCCAAAGTTATTCAGCAGTTTAAGGATAAATTGCTTGCACTTAAGTGGTATTTGTTACAGATAACTTCTCTAATTAACTGAATTATCAGAATAGGTGCTACTAGCAGCTTCTGGTTTCCAAACTGGGGGATTTCAGGTCATCAGATCAGACAACTGAACCCTGTAACAGAATGCTGCAGTTCTAGGACATCTCTACTAGCAGACAAGACTAATCTGAGCACATAAAACAACCAGGCTGTCTAAAGGTGCCACATACCTGCTTCTCGCAACCTGCTCCCCTCGGCTTTTGTTCTATTAGTTCTTTCACTCCCAGCCAGATCAACCAAGGAGAGCTGGCTCAGCATGATCTGTTCTTTCTCCTGTCACAGAGAACAAACTGTGTTAGGATGATTATCAGCTCTATATTCCTTTTGATGGGGTGGGGGGAACACCCCAGGCCCCAAACCTAAACCAGCATGCATGCTTAAAAAGAATACTTGTTGCACCTTCAAATAAAGCCTGAGGGTGTATTATAGCCTTTGCATGAAGAAACTGTGCACCACTAGCTTCTTCTATGAAGAAGCAGATCCCTTTTGTCTTGGGACACAAGACAAATAGATACCACAACCAGTCACTCAGATCCTCCAAGTTTTAGATTTGTAAGTTTTTGCCCCAAAACAGAGGTAAAGAATAAAGGAATGAGCAGCTTGGTACTCCATTTTAGTGCTCTACTTTCATTACAAAAATAAGACCTATTCTGTCAAAGACTAGAAATGTAGCAATTTTTATTTTCTTCAAAATGAAATGGCCAGTGAGGAAGATCCTTGTGCTCAAGGCACAGTGACAGTTTCAGGAGGCTGTGCTGAAAGACCCACCCCTTCTCCACCTACACACACAAGCATACATGCCCAGAACTCACCTGTAGCACATTATCTCCATCTGCATCCAGGGGGGCCTGGGCCAACTTTATGATGAAAACACTGTGGGAGCGACTGGACTCGCAGTTCAGCTGCGTGTTGGCAATGCGCCGCTTCTTCTGGCCTGTCCAGGAGAACAAACACAGCCTCACCCCACTGAACAGACCTGGGAAAGCCCATGCTCTTCCCAGCCTGGCAGTGTAAAGGATTTCCCAGCTGGACTGGATTTGAGAAGTCACAGTCTTGAGATCTACCTCTCCAGAAGACTTCAAAAGCTTCTTCTGTAGATTTCACCTCAACTTCCGTGCACCCCATGACATACATGTTGTGATTCTGGTCCTCACGGAGCAGTTTGGATTGTGGGGGTCTTCAGGACAGGGAGGAAATAAAATAAAGGCACCAACATTGAGTGGATTTTTATGCAAACAAACCATTCAGCAGTGCAAGTTTTCTTCTAAGTACAAAATTCAGGCTGAATATGTCAAATTAGCCACAGAGCAGATGGAAGAGGAGCTACAAGTACATGGACACATTCAGCCAAGATTAGTTACACTTCAGCTACTGCTTTAATTTAGAAGCTACATTTAATTGCAATTCTTACTGCAAATCATGGGTTTGGGTGGCAGCTATTGTTTTTCTACATGCACACAGAAGCAAGATGGCTTCAGCAGTGCTCTATATTCACTAGTAAAGCAAGAGGACACAGGGAGCCAGCCCGAGTTTATTATCTTCTTCTACTGAAAGAAAATGTTACTTTTCAATGATGGGAATAAAATGCTTATGCACATACATAAAGTCACCATTTCGCACAGGAGTGTTGCAATTGTTCCACCTACCAAAAAAAACAGGGTTAAAAAAATATTAAAGTCATTCAGCTTGTGCTCAGAATCCCTTTATATATAACACACTGGCTTCCACAAACAGAAATAATCCAAGATTCTTCCTAGGTTGATTTTTTTGGACATAAGCACCATACTAAACCAAATTATTGTGCTCTTCTTTAAAAAAAGCATTCACAGACATTCAAACCCTTTTCACATCAGTACCCTGGAGACAGATCTGGATGTTTCAGGGCAGTGGCTTGTTTTGCTCTACTTAGTCTTTGTACATCAGCCAACTCTTTAATTACCACATGTACTAATGGATATGGGTAGGCTTTTTTTTAATGGATTTTGAATTTTTAAAATATAAAGCTGAAGTTGCAAACTGGTTTTTCTGAAGGTCTCAAGATTTACAGATTTTAAAAATCAGCCAAGCACTCCCCTTTCCAAAAAATACCCAGAATTTCATTTATGAGACTGTTCAATTCTGTTTCTTTGGAAATTACTGACATCAAGTGAAATAATCCACAAACTTGCTTTAACTGTAAAGCAACAACAAATCACTTTCACCCACTACATTGTTTCCAGGCCAAAAAGAAAAATTAGCTTACTCTTCAAGGTGCAGTCATCTGCTAGGAACACTGCTCACAGAATAGCATCAATAGGCTTAGAATCCCAGTGGGATACACCACACTGCCTAACAAGTTAAATATCTGCTTATCACTCAATCCCCCATCATAATGAGGAAGGGAGCACCAAGTCTCAGCAGCAACAGAACAACTCCCAGCACGTGGCACCCTCCAGTACTACTGTCTGGACTCCTTGGCCATCCCCTTCCTCATGTGACTTTTTAAAGTGATTCCCATGAATTGAGCCAGACTTGCCAAGACTACAGCCACAAAAACATTCTGTAGTTCCCACAAAAGTGTAACTGAAGTAGGAGCAATGGGATTCAAACTAACTTTGGTTTTATAGGCTCAAAGGGAGCTTCCTCCAAGAGGTCATATATATAGTTGTTGTAGATCTCAATATAGGAGACGAAGACACTGTAGACATTGTCCTCATCAACTTCTTCCACCTTGCAGTGATCTTGCACATTGATCATGTCAGCAAACTCGGGGTCAATTTGTCGCCTGCAGAACACAGAGGAAGTGATTGTAGGGGAGCACCCACCACCAGCTGACACAGCAGACAGTGGCTGCAGCTGAAGAGCAGCTCCACTCACAGGCACTGCAATTCGAGCCTGGAATCACTCCCATGAGCAACTAATGGCAACACATCCAGTCACATGAGATTTAAAAAAGCATTTGCAAAAGTTTAAACAGATAAACTTTCATCTGACACTGATGTACTGGCCTGCAGTATGAAATGCCTTACTAAATTCCTGGACAGTCAGCATTTCTGTCCTCCATCCAAGATTCCTGGACAGTCAGTATTTCTGTCCTCCATCCAGCTCTCTCACTATTTTGCAAACTATCCCAAGTTCACAGAATTCCTACTCAATGAAGTCACAGCATTTTACTCTGGGGTTAACAGGTAAACATACACTGCTGTTGCCTGATTCTAAGTCATCTTAATAATTATCCAATTGCTCAAACCACATGAAATACACTAACTTCCCATTCATATTTTTCTTACCTTTTATTCAGGGAAGGATAAAGAGGCCAAGGGTAAGTTCAAACCACACTAACACAACAACATTTATATTAAGTAAATTCATCCTGCATGTTACACTAGTGACTTACTTGCCAGATGGAGTTTTTAGAACAGGCATGGCATCTCTCTTCTGGCGCTCTAACAGAGCATCCACTTCACACTGAACATCCACACCATTCTTGTCATCCAGCTTAAAAACCTGAGCAGTGCACAGAGGTTGTTGGACAATATCATGACAGACACTAGACAGCATGAGGTATTGACCAGCAAAAGAAATCATTTGACCAAGCTATCTAGGAACACCATGCCCCTCATTAAGGCTCAGCCTGCTGGCTAACACAAAGTAGATCTGAGAGAAAACAGGTATTTCCAGGATTCTATAAAAGCTACCAAGGAAAAGCCATCCAGTATTGTAGCAAACTCCAGAGAAGTTTGACCAGAAGGAAAGTTTGATATCATCTCCTATGTTAATGTAGATATGGTTTCCTGTGGCTTTTTTGTCTTGTGGCTGGATCTCATTCCATACCTCAGAAAGCTTCCTCTCTTATTTTTTATCATTTTAAAGAAAGCCAATTAAAGAATGAGCAACAACTGCAAGTAAGCCAGACCATACATCTTCACAATGTCCCCTCCCTGCAGGTGTTTGAGGGCAGGCTGGACCAGGCTCTAAGCAACCTAGTCTAGTGGGAGGTGTCCCTGTCCATGCAGAAGGGTTGGAACTAGATAATCTTCAAAGGTCCCTTCCAACCCAAACCATTCTATGATTCCATGAAAAGTCTGTCCCAGCTACCATGCCTGCCTCCTTAGCCCTGTTCTTCAGATCTTTTTCTGGTTGGTTTCCTTATTACAATGCACCAGTAACAGGAGTTAGGCTGTCAGTAGGGTGGAGAACTCCAAGCAAAACTACTCACAAACCGCTTGGCCTGGAAGGGTCCTATGCTGTTGAAGATCATGTCCAAGCAGCGGGGGAGAAGTCCTCCATCCCCAGGAGACCCAGTCATGGTGTGTGTCTTCCCGCTGCCTGTCACACCATATGTGAAGAGGAGACCTGGGAGGGACAGGAAAGGCAGGTCGTCACACTTGCTGTCTCAAAAAAGTTGCTATAATCACACAATCTGTCTTTCTAGACTCATATGTATTTGGAAAAGACAATTAATCCTTCTGAACAGTGAGCAGTAACTATTGCAGCCCACCAAGAGCCAGGTTTAGAAGTAATTAAAAGCAAAAGCAGCTTCCAGGGATGCTGAGCTACAACTGTTCCAGTTGTTTTACTCAGACAAGCTAAGAACCTTGGAGACATGAAATCCTAGCAACACAAACCCCCACAGGACAGCCACACAGAGGGGTGGCACAGGACAAGCACTCACCATTTTTCCCCCGAATGAGATCTTCCACCAGAGGTTTGGCCACCACATCAAAAAGCTGCTTCTGAGCAACAAGGGTGCCAAACACTTCCTTGAACGAATACTGCGTCTGCAGAAAAGGAGACACACCATCCCTGTCCACAAGCCCATTGCTTCAAAACCCTTCACTGTTTCATACCTTAGAACCACTCCCCATCAGTCCTCCAGAGGGATAAAAGCTCTACTTTAGGATTAAACCAGTGCTTGGGCAGGTGTTCCAATGTAACTATTCTGAGAACAAGATGTGTACAATGCCTCATTGTCACAGAGCTGGGGCCCAGAAATACCCAGATGGATCACCAAGCCTGCCCTCCAGGGCAAGAAATCTCACCCCTCACAGCTTTGAGCTCAAATGCCTGTTTGAGCTCCCACCATCACCAGCACTCAGCAAAGGAACACCCACAACAGCCTAAGCTGAGTTGTACCAGCATTTAATAATTTTAAGCCTCTTTCCAGTTTAGCCTCAGTTTCCAGTAATCTGTTTTCAATATATATATATTTAAATGAATCTGATAACTTTCAATCAAAACACCTGTATATGTAAACATTTGAATTTTAAGTCTTAGAGCAAAGGTTTGTTTACCAAACTTTTAACTAAATCTTTGCCTATCTTAGTGAAGCCTCTGAAGATCACGTTATAGATTTCCTATCAGAACTGCCCCATACTGCAATCAGTAACAAATCATTCTACCATCCCAACTAACACTAATTCTTTAACTCTCAGAAGCACCATCACCTTGTCTCATTTTGAGTTCCTCTGCTGGGAACCTGCAGTTCAAATCAGGGTCAGTGCTGCACTGCTCCTAGTTCTCTGCACAAGCCCTAAACCCTGTCCTAGGAAACACTTGTACTGATCGCTGAGCTGAGCTGCTCCCTGACCTGCTCTCTACCTTCCCACACTTCTTGTCAGCCCACCACTTCATGTGGGTAACCTACAGCTTTCCCACACACACATTATTAAAACAGGGAAATGTGGGGGTTTTTTGCCCAACTTCAGTTGCAGGCAACTCAACCATGAACTCATTTGTGTCTGGTTTAGCTTGGAGCCCATTTCTTTCAATTAGCCCTAC